TTCATCAAATTAGTTCTCAATGAGCTGAAATGGTAGAACTTTGTTAGTTGATCATATTGGTTAATGACTAATTCAGAGAATATGTCCAGTAGTTCACACTCAGGACCTGTCACTTTATGGAGGAGAAAATTGGACAGTTCCTAAAGCAAGACAAAGAAGAGGTCTTCTTCCTCTCAGTCCAGTTCTTTCTATACAAAAATAAGAGTAAAGGGTTATCAATGAGCTGATAGTTTTTAAAAACACAGTGACTCACCTCCATCCCTCCAAAACAGGACCAAGGGGCCCTGGTTCAGTGGTTGAGTAGAGATCCATCCTGAAGTCTGAACGTTAGGGAAGCAGAGAAATACAGAAGCAGACCCAGGTGTCTCTTGAACAGCAGCCCGGGTCACATAACCTACCTCTCGAAGCCATATTGTGTTTAGCATATTTCTACCTGATTGAAATTGGATCTAAACATGCCCAAGGTTGAATGGGAATGGAGGGCATTATTGCATGTAATTATTTCTCCGGAATAAAAATGGATTCTAGCAGCAGCTTAGTGGTAAGGCAACAGCAGAGCAATTAGAGTTTTGAAGCTCTCGTGCAAAAACATTTGAATGTGCAATCATTGTAATAAGTACATTAAAATAAAATAAGTCAAAGGGCTGCATTTGCATAAACAACCCAAGGTGAGAGTATGGGATCAGTTAAAAAAAAAAGAGGATACAGCTAGTTGATCATAATGAGGAAATAATAACCAGTCTGTCCTCCAGGCAGAGATCACCAGGGTGAGACAGTTGAGGCCCAGTGTCAATTAGTAGGGAACCTCATCTGGTTCACTGCTCATTCTTCCCTCTCCTTGGGTGGTGGGCACGTTTGGGGAGTTTTACATACATTCATCCTCACCGAAATACCCACAAGGTAAGAATTATTACTTCCCCATTTTCCACATGAAGAAACTGAGGCATGGAGAGCTTGAGTCACTTCACTTCTAGTGGTGTGGCCTTGGCAGGACCCCCATCCAAGATGTCTTCATTTTCTCCCTTTAATTAGGACTAATGCTTCCTGCTTAGTCCTTCTGGAGAGGATTGGGAACACATGGTATGTGAAGGGCCAGCAGAGGTGGGTACATGGATGCTGAGGATGTGATGGTCATCCTGAACATATTTGCCCAGAAGCCTCTCAGAGTTGGTTTTTATAGGGAAGGGAACCTGGGCTTGGATTTCTGGATCTCAGGTCTCCAGAAAAAGGAGAGGAAAGCTGAGACATGCTTGCCTCTGGCAGGCAGGTGAAGAGTTAGGGGGATGGTGAGGTGATATCTCATATTCTCAGAGGTGTGGATGGAGAAAGCCAAGGTGGCATATCCATACGATGGGATAATAATTAAGCCTTAAAAAATAAAAAAGGAAATCTTGCTGTTTGCAACAACATGGAAGAATCTTGAGCACCTCACGTTGAGGGACATAAGCCAGTCACAGAAGGACATACTGCCTGACCCCACTTAGGTGAGGAATAAGAAATAAACCTATAGAAGCAGCAAGTAGTACAGTAGTTTCCAGGGGCTGAGGGTGGGAAATGGCGAGATGCTAGTCAAAGTCTTCATTACATAAACTGAGTACATTTCGGAGGTCTTCTGTACAATACTGTACCTACAGATAGCAATACCATATCATACACTTAAAAATGTGTTGAGGGTAAATCTGTGAAGTGTTCTTGCCACAGCAAAATAAAGTTTAAGAAAGAAAGAGGGAGAAAGAAGGGGGAAATCAGCTACTATGGAAAACAGCATTGACTCAGTGTGACAGGAGGTCTAAGGCCTCTGGATGATGCCTGATCCTTCCTGACTGTGCTTTTTCTGGAAGCAATCTCATGTCTGTGAACTCCTCATTCCAGAAGACAGAGTATTTTCCTCCCCTTACACTCAAATCTTTTGATTTCCTGGGGCAGCTGAGTGGCGTCTGGGGCCAAGCGGAAGATGCCCAGGGCCACACTGAGCCCATCATCCCCGTTGTGGGGGCCTCTCTGAGCAGACGACGTGTATAAATCAAGAGTTGTGTTGGAGTTGGAGGTGATGCCTGGTCCTGATATCACAAATTAACTAGAGGAATTGGCTATTCTCGGATGGTCGTATTAGCTTTGTCCATCGCAGTGTTTTTTCTGTGTCTGGTTTGGCTGAGGTTCTGCCCGAAAGTGCTGCAAATATGAGCTTTTGAAATCAGTGGTTTTTGGAGGTTTTCTGCTCAGGGGGCCAAATTGTAATCCTAAGTTAATGAGGAAAGAGAACAGCCCAAGAATAATATTCAGGATGTGTCTGGTGGGAGAGGATGCAGATGGCTGTAAGGACAGAGGCTCTTCTGCTTACTCTCTGCCCTCTTGTTAACTTCTAAAAAATGAGCTTGGGGACAGAATTTAAACTCATGTTCTTGGACAGCAGGCATCATTGAACTGATTTTCTGACTCTTAGAGACCAAAAAAAAGGGGGCTCCTGTAGCAGGGGACAGCTGGAAGGAAGAAAGCAGATCAGATTGGTTCCTATATTAATCAGGATGAGCTAGATCATGCTGCAACAACAAAGATCCCCAAATCTCAGTGATGGAAGGTGACAGAGATTTCTGCCTGCAGAGGGTTGGTGGAGTCTCTGCTCCACACTGACCTCAATTAGGGATACATGACCTTTACTATCAAGAGGGTGGCTGGATGCGGCAAGTTGTACCCTGGCCTCTGTCACTTGTCTTGGTCACAGAAAGTTTCTTGGCTGTGCCTAATTTGCAAGGGATGGCAAGTATAATCTTATCGTGTGCCTTGAAGGAAGAGGACTGAAATATTTGTCAAGCACTTTCTTCAATACCTTCCCTGCCCCAGCATCCAACTTCCATCCCAACCTAGGCTATATGAGCAAAGAGGGAGATACCCCTCCCACTTCCCCATAGAAAAAGAGGAGCTAGATGCTTCCTGGTTTACCTCTTCGCCAAACAGAAGAGACACTGTACTACAGCAAGTTTGAGAATCAGACAGGTACAAGTTCACTTCCTTCCCCAGATGACTTGGGGCAAGCTACTGAACATCTCCAAGCTTTTTCCCCTTCCCTGTAAGATGGGGGAGTACTAGTATCTACTTTGGGAGTTATATGTGCTTAAGAATGTTGTAAGAACACCTTGGCTCCTCTTTCTTTTAAACAGCAAGGAGAGTACCTCTTAACAGGGTAATTGTTGATATACAATAAGTAGTACCTGTGAATTACTTAGTATGTGGTGCCCGGCTCATGGCAGGTGCTCAGGAAATATATCCGAGAGGCTGCTTAGGATTCTTTAAGGGCCTCTGAACAAAAAGAAAGAGAAAGAGGACTAAAGAGGACTATCATCAGTAGGGTTCAAGGACAGAGATACAGAATCTCACTGGGGGTGGGGAGGGGGTGGGGTTCTTGCAAGTCTGTATGGGGTGGTAAGAAAGAACCAAACCAGGTGTCAGAACTGGAAGGCCCCTGTCACCAACCTGGATATACTATCAACTGCTGCGTATGACCCGCAACCACTCCAACACTCAATACAGACCCAGCTCTCCCTCCTTGACATCTCTTTATTTCCTCCTACCATTCCCATTGCCCACACCCCCCAGCTCCAACTGCCTCAGGCTTCTGATGTTTCATGGCTCCTACTTCCTGTTCTCTCCCTCTTCGTGACTCCCTGCCACCTGATGGGCCACCAGCTAGACGTAAGAAGGCTATTTGCAGGTGACATGCCTGTCCCAGATCCATTTATCTGGGCAGGAATAGATGGGAAAGGAGCCAGATCTTGTGGTACAAAGCCGGCTTCAGTGCTTTAGGGGACAGGGGGTTAGGGGTCTAAAGGATGCTGCAGCTTCTTGGAAGTGGGTAGTGGAATGGAATGAAAATAATAGCAATATTCAACTTACAGAGTGGCCATGAGGGATCTTAGTGTTTGCTCTCACTCTTCCAGCCTCTTCCAAATAGGAGAAATCAGTGCTTGATGCTGATGGGGCAAAGACAAGAAGGGGCTGAGCCACATATGGCTTCTTCTCCAGAGGGGGTCACTGAGGACACAGCCAACTAAACCGAGCCCAGGGGTCGGGGGGCAGGGGCTTCTGAACTCACATTTCTAGAGGGCTGTACATACGTTCTCTTTCTTAAAGGGCCAGATTGAAATATTTTAGGATTTGCAGGCCAGTCCATCTCTATTGCAGCTGCTTACCTCTGCCATTGTAGCATGAAAGCAGCCCTAGATAATACATTAGTGAACAGGTATCACCACGTGTCAATAAAAGTTCTTTCACAAAAACCAATGGCAGGTGGGTATTGGACCGCCAAGTAGTCAGCCAACTTGCTAGAAGAGGAGTCACCCCCAGGTGACTTAATCAGTCTGCCCCACATACAGACATCGGGAGTCAAAGCTCAAACACAAGGGTATCACAAGTTTGCAGGTCTCCTGGGACTCATTGTAAGGATCATTCTGTGAGAGGTGCATTCCCCTTCAAAATACCCAGTGATGTCTCTCCTTCAGAATTGACTGTGACTCTGTCTGATTCCTCTTATGGGCGTAGATCTATGAAGATATCCTAAAGGCAATGGAATGGATATTATATCCTACCAATATTTTCTCCCTTTATAACTTTAACACAGCATTGCCAGCCCTTAAATAAACCATCAAAGCACTGTCTGCTGAAATTTAAAAAGGAAGCTGGAACCAAATGTCCATAATCCAATGGCAGAGACAATCAAAGAAACTTACTTGAAAGGAAGGTATGGTTAATAACAAGCATTGAGACTGATAGTCATTGCAATTTATTGCCTGCAAAGCTGTGTTTTTTAGTTGGAATGCCCTGCGTTTGGGGGAAAAATGGGTCCAGAGAGAAAAGTCTTACCTGAAGTTAAGCTTGTAGCAAAGGTAGGGCCTAAAACCAGGTCCCAGACTTGCATACCTGTGCTGCACTCTCCAAAGGCCAGCCTATTTGGTGTGACCGTTCAGTAAAGTTTCTCTTCCCTGGTTCTTTCCCATATTCTCCAGGATGGCTACTTCTCTCACCGGCCAAAAGAGAAAATGCGAACAGACAGCAACAATGAGAACTCGGTCCCCAAAGATTTTGAGAATGTGGACAACAGCAACTTCGCACCAAGGACTCAAAAGCAGAAGCACCAGCCTGAGCTGGCAAAGAAGCCCCCAAGCAGACAGAAGGAGCTTTTGAAGAGAAAGCTACAGCAGGAGAAGGGGAGGGGACATTCATTCCCAGGCAAAGGCACCAACGAAGTGCTGCCTCCCGGTGAGGGAGCTCCAGTGAACAGCAGCCGTGGCAAAGATGCCCCCGGCCAGCCCCACACCAGGAAAAGCGGTGGTAGCTCCCCTGAGCTCAAGTATGACCAGCCCCCCAAGTGCGACATCTCGGGCAAGGAGGCCATCTCTGCCCTGTCTCGCGCTAAGTCCAAACACTGCCGCCAGGAGATCGGGGAGACCTACTGCCGCCACAAGCTCGGGCTGTTGATGCCAGAGAAGGTGACTCGGCTCTGCCCCCTGGAAGGTAAGCTCAGCCCCCGAGGTTGGGAGCAGCACCTCCTTTCCAACTCATCCTCCTTCCCAGTCCCCTTCTGCTCACGTTCTCAGACCTGCTGAGAATGACCACCCTGTTTTTCAAACCCCGAATCAGGACACAGGATCTGATTTGTTTGGGACTCCCTGAATTCTGAAATCTGATATTTTAAAAAGTATTTCAGAATCAAATTATCTTTCATTATAGCTTTAGTTGCAAAGGATGGAATATGGTGAAATTAGGGCTCATATGGAAGCTATAGAAGGTGAGTTGACTATATTAATATAGTTTGTTTTCTGTCTCAGCAGAATATTGGGATTAGAATTGACATAGGTATTATTATAATTGAATGTGATTCGAAAGGTTTCTAATTGGTGGCATTGACTTTGGAGGCTCTGGAAAATGACCTTCCCATCCTCCATCTGAAACTCCTTCCTTCCTTCCATCCTTCCTTCCTTTCTTCCTTCCATATTTTCTCTCTTCTTCATTTTCTCTTCCCTCCTTCCCCCTCTCCCTCCCTCCCTCCCTCCCTCTCTCTCCCTCACTCCTGCCCTGTGCTGGTGACCAGTGATAAATCAGATCTCTTGCTCTGAGAGACTGGAGGTATAACAGAGACACTGCATCCTCCTGCGTTGAGACAAAAGGCCAGAGAATCAAGAAAGCCAACTGCAGAGCTGACCCCAATGGCAGAGTGGGGAGGTAGGGGGCTTTCAGTCCCCCTGACATTGGTGGATTTAGAAGCCAAACAAGGAAGACTTTGCCAGGCGCCCTCTTTACTCTGAGCAGCTTCTGTATTCCTGCGTCTTTCTTGATGCAGAAGGGAGGTCCGTGGTGAGAATGGCTCCCAAGGAACAGCAGACTAGAAGGTCCCCTAGAGAAAGCTTAATGCCGTTTGTTCACTGGGCAGATGGCAATGTGAGGCCCATAGAGGGAAGGAAACTTATCTGAAGTCACCCAATTAATTAGAGGCTGAACTTGAGCTAGAATTCTAGCCTCTTCATTTCAAAAAGGTACTCTCTACTTACTGCTGGTCACAGAATAATGAAGAATTTGGAACAGTTAGGGAGCAGTGATGTGTGCTCAGTATGTAGAGAGGCCTAGAGGACATAGGGCAAGCTCGTCACGTTTCCCTCCCCCAGGTGGGGAGCAGTGGGGACAATGCCGACTTTTACTTGAGTTTATCTGTATTTTTTTAGTTTTTTAGTAGTAAATGTGTACCTATAGAATACTTTCTTTTAAATAGAAAGATTATTTTTTAAAGTTCATTTCTCCCTTCATTTTAACACCTTATCTAAGTTGTCCAAATGGTTCCCATGTTTATTCTTACCATTTTTTTATCCTCACCCAAGGACGTACTAATTGATTTTAGAGTGGGGGGAAAGGAGGGAGAGAGAGAGGGAGAGAAACATCAGTATGAGAGAGAAACATCAATCAGTTGCCTCTTGTACGTGCCTCCATCTGGGACCAAACTTACAACCCAGGCGTTTGCACTGACAGGGAATCGAACTTGTGACCTTTCGGTTTACAGGAAGACACTTCAACCAACTGAGCCACAGCAGCCAGGGCCATCTTTATTCTTGATGGGCACACAGAGCATAGGAATAAGTACGTGGAGAGGGATATTTTCCAAATGTTTTGTAAATCAGTGCATAGCCTGGCAAAAAGTGATAGAATCCGAGTTGACTGCTCTTCCGAGAAAATAATATTGGGCTTGCACTGTATACCAAAGGTCATAACACTTTGTCTATAACAGGCCAGAGAGTAAATGTTTGAGGCTTTGTGAGCCATGCAGTCTCTGTCACACCTACTTAACTGTGCTTTGTAGCCCGAAAGCAGCCCTAGACAATATACACACAAATGCACTTGGTTATGTTCCAGTAACACTGAATTTACAAAAATGGGTAATAGGCTGGATTTGGCCCGCGGACTGTAGATTGCTTACTTTGGCTAGATACCAGTCCTGTATACAATAGTGTCCCACATTATCCGCAGTTTTGCTTTCTGCAGGTTTCAGAAACCTGAGGTCTGCAGTCAACCATGGCCTGAAAATAGTAGAAAATTTCAGAAATAAACAATTCATAAGTTTTCAATTGTACGCCATTCTGAGTAGCATAATGAAATCTCACACTGGCCCAATACGTCCTGCCTGGGACTCGGATCATCACTTTGCTCAGTGAATCCACACTGTGTGTGTTCCCTGCTAGTCACTTAGTAGCCATCTGGGTTATCAGATCTACTGTCTTGATAGGACATTGCTTGTGTTCAAGTTACCCTGATTTTCATTAATAATGCCACATTTACATAACCTTTATCACAGTACTTTGTTCTGTTCTATTATTAGGTATTGTTAATCTCTTACCATGCCTCATTTATAAAGTAAACTTTATTGTAAGTATATATGTATAGAGAAGAGTATATATAGAGAGAGAATATATATAGGGTTCAGTACTGTCTGCAGACTCAGGCATCCACTGGGAGTCTTGGATGAAGGGGACTACTGTGCTCTCTGACACTGTTTGCCCCTTCCATTACAGTGAATCCTCACACCAGCCCCATGAGGTAAATCAGTTATCAGTCCATTTTGTCTGTGAGGAAATAGAGGTTTAAAGAGGTTTCATACTTGGCTAGAGGAGCACAGCTAGTAGATGGCAGAACTAGTATCAGAGCTCGGGTTTTAGAGCCTGCATCCTTTTCCAGAGCTTCTCCCTCTTCAGGGACTAAAGGTTTCTCTTTAGCTCAGGCTGTCAAATCTCAGGGATGTCCCTCAGCCTGTAGACTTCTGTATCTCTCTGTCATCAGTATGGTTGCAGTAAGAGAGGGCGTTAATGGGGAACAACAGTGTGGATGTTGCCAGTGGAGACCAAGGGCTCCTAGGCTTCTCTTGGCCGTACTGAGTCATCTCTGTTGTGGTTTTTCAATGTGCATTTGCCACTGGGGTTTCCCTGTGGCCTTTGCTGCATCAGCTAAGGTGGCGCAGCCTCCCGGGACCTCTGAGCTGGTTAATAAGATTGGCATTTAAGAGCCATTGCACACCCAGCCCCGGCAATGCTTTAATTTGCTGCACCATAGCCTCTCCCTTTTGCAATAAATTTACTGTGAATAGACTAATTGCAAAATAACCCTAATTGGATAGTTATCAATGAATAAGTTCCCGTGGAACAAAACAGCTTACAATTAATAGCATTTAAGCCATAAACTATTCTTCTGCAGAAAGCTAAGATGTAATTACACCCCATACAGAGATTGTGTTCCCTTTCTGGAAACTGTGACACCCGGATTTCCCTCTGCTTAGGAAGGATTTGAGCTCCAGCCCAGTGGTCCTTTTATTTCCTGCTAAATGAGGAAATGGAAGTGGGAAGGGAGAGAAATTTGATACGTGGGGTAACTATACATACGCACATGCATGCACACAGATGTACACACTGTGCTTGTTGTTTTGCTGAGCTCACCATCACCCAAACTTCGGCCAATATGATGCTGGAAGTTGAATATAATTAAGGAAACAGTTTCTCTTGGCCTGAGGTCTGAAAAATTCAGAAGAAAGAAAATAGGTTTTAAATGTTGACTTTTGTAAAAGAGTCCTGTTTCTCCCACCCCCAGTGCTTCCTGTCCCCTTGCCCAGCACCGCTCAGTGAAAAGGAAGAGTCTAGATCCGTAGGAGATGGTTTGCTGTGAAGACAGTCCTTGCATATGTGACTTGTCCACTTCACTCTCCACCTCCTAGAAAAAGCAGCTGGAATAGTGACCCATTTTTACAAGAAAAGGCGGGATCTGCTGACTATCCATTAGCAACCATGGGAGTGAGATGCCGTGAGGTGGGGCAGGTGCTCTACCTCGTCAGTCCCCCAGGCCGGCCCCACTGTGGGCCCTTATTCTTCCCAGAGACCCCGCGCTCACTGTGGCAGCCAAGCCACCAACCCCGTGCACCCTGCCATTCCTCACCCAGGCAGCTTCACAAACCCCCAACCCCCGCGATTACCTAGGCCTCCTCTCCCTTTCTGGGGCTCCACATTCCCCCAAGGGCCACCAGTCACACCAGCTGGACCTCCCAGTGGTTCATGGAAATGAAAGCAGGTCAGCTGGAAGGCCAGTGGTGGCCTGGGTTGGCAAAAGACATTTTCCATCCAGAGATCTTCAAGCACTGTGTTTTGAATCCTGGTTCTGTATTGACTAGCCACGGGACACTACCCTCTCAGTGCCTCAGCTTCCTTATCTGTAAAGTGGACACAGATCCTCACACCTTGTCTTCATAGGACTGAGGCTGGAATGGGATCATGTGTATAAAATGCTTGGTGCAGAGGGAGCTCGGGTAAAGTAGATGTGTTTGGCTCTTAGCGGTAGAGATGAGCATGGTAGCAGCGTAAATGAGGGGGGCACTAGGAAGCACAAGAGGCCTGCTCTCATGGTGACTTCCCATGGCCTAGCCACATCTTTCTCACTCTGTTCCTCAGGATTGGCCCCGAGTACCTCGGGCATTCCCTCATGCCCCCTGCACTGTTGCCTCATGCCCCCCACTTCATCCCACCTTGCCTGGCTATCACCTCTTTTTACTCCAGATTACAGCCTAAATGTCACCTGCTCAAGGAAGCCTTCCCAGACCACACCTTCTCCAGGAACCTTGGCCACAGGGGACACACTGACCTGGGTGAAGGGCAGAGGTGGCTTTCCCAAAAAGTGTCTTTCCAAATAGAGACTGTTTGACCTATAAGAGGCATTCTGGTGCCAGGAGCGAGGCCATGCAACTTTTCCCTCCTCATTACATTTGGAATACGTTAGGAAGCTCCCTCCATCGGTCCTCGTGAGCCTCCTTCCATCTTGAGTTAAAATGTCCCAAAGAAAGGCCCCACTGGTTGTCCTGGTCCCTCCTGTACTTCTTCACTCTTCTCTGTGCCAATAAAACTGACTGCAGCTCAGATGTCCAGGTGAGGAATGAGAGATGAAAAATGTGAGACGCTTTGGAGAAAGCAGTTGGCAGGGAGGTGGGATGGGCT